TGCCCAGCTTGATATGGAGGTACTGCCGTAGGAGCCGGCGTTGAATATGCATATTCACCCCATCCTTGCTGCCTGGCATATTCTTTTTCGAATTTTTCTAGCTCTTCCTTGGTGTACTGCTCTCTGTCAGCAATATCCTCCCAACCTTGATCCGACCTATCATCCTGTGCTTCCGCATCCTGGAAATTTATTTTTTAGATTAAACACAGCAATGGTGATGATGGGAAAGGAAGACTCCTCCCATGAGCTACGACGAGCAAAGATGAAGTATGACGCCAAAAAATTTCGCATATAAATGTAAGGTATATAAAATCCCGGAATTAATGTGAGTAAGAAGTGTCTAATTATTTTCGCTGAGGTGGGCTAAATTAATCCTCTATTGCAAGTCACAAAAAAGTAAAAAACCGACCGCAAGAAATTCCGCACGCGAAATTCGATTGTCGCCGTCCTTGTCCATCTGTTTCATCACGTGCTCACGCATACGATACATCTCTTCAAACCTAAACTTTTCGCAAAAAAGTGCAAACACAACTGAGTGATTTACTCTCACGCTTTAAAATTCCATAGTCTTGCTACTACTGGGACAATGCCCATTTGCTCCAACTGATCCTGAAGAGGCCAACAGCTACAATACATCAAAGAATTAGTGGAAATATTTTTGGCTTGCAAGCTATTAAATTGGTATGAGAAATTTGCAGCATTTTCTTAGAGTGCTTTTACAGGAGAAAAATGACTTCCCCTTCCCCCACAAAAAAAAATTGAATTTCTAAATCATGGCCAATCTGAGTTTTGTTCTATTTCAGTGATTATTTGTATGAAAACAAGGGGGTCAAGGAGAAAAAACATCCATCAGATGTGCTTCTGCATATAATGGAACTAGGTGGAGACATCTGCAACGTATACCGGAAAAATTGTGGCGGAAAACCAAACGAGGAAAATGAATGAATTTTGAAATGCATGAATCTCCTGTCTTAAACGCATGAATTTTGACACAAAGGATGCTTGTCGTTCAAGAAGATGTAAGTACGGCAAAAAA